AACTATTTCTGATGTGCGCTGCGAGAGGGTTCACGGGACGAGCAAGTTAAGACAATGTACGGTTTAATGTGTTACGTGGCCGTGCTTGGCAGCTGACTTATAAAATTGAGTATGGGTCAATCAGCGTATCGTGGTTGTCAATCGGTGTTCCTGCGTGTCTTTCTTATTAGCATCGACCGCGCTAACCAGGTGACCAATGAAAAGACATGAGTCTCCGTGCGGTGGAAAACACAATATGCTTCTTTAGGCCACGATCTGGGACCCTGTGACCGCGCGTCATGGGGGGGGCTACGCTTACTCTCCGGATTAAAGACAGATACCGCAGCACAACAGAAGAAAACCGCACCGCACGTGTGTATCTGTAATTCGGATCGGCTGCTACACCGATGGCAAGCAGCACGAGTCTATCAACGCTTGTGTTTATGTGTGTATCTGATTTGGCATCGACCGGCGCTTTACCCGGCGGATGATTGAGAATGGGCTCAGTCATATGAGTACAAGGAACGCTACAACGCACTGCTATTCTTGGCAAGTGTGTTCGCCAGATGTGCCATACCGCGACAACACCGCCTTTCCTGTGTGTCTCTCGCTCTATCTCTCTTTATTGTAAGCATCGACCGGGCTAACCGGTTGACCAATGAAAAGACGTCAGTCTCAGTGCGGTTGAGATCACAAAAAGGCTGTGTGCGTGTTCGTCCCACCTATTCCGGCGCCGGTTTTGCAGGCCTTTTGCCGTAAATACCTGACGCATCAGCCGGTGTCAGGGACGTTTTTCATATTTTTGCTTGTTTTGTTGCCCCGGCTTTCCTCCTGCGCGGTGCTTCCCTTAGTTTTCGTCGCCAGAAGAGTTCGACCATTCCTTTCCCTCGTCGAAGTCGTACATAATGCCTCGAAAACAGTTTCTTTTTTGTTTCTCGGTCCATTGGTAACTCTTTTAGGTGGAGAGGGGCATGAAGCCCTCCAAGATACTGTCGAAGCCGAAGCTCGGAAAGCCCCCCAAGGAAACATCGGCGGCGCAACTACTCGCTGGACTGTGCAAGAAGGCCATCCACGTGAGGGTTGTACCTTTTTGTCTCCTGTACGCCTCTGCCGAGGCGACATGACATGCACTCCGTGCACTCCGTCGCATGAACGTGTATATAACGCGTTGTTTTTCCAACAGCAGTTACAGACATTTTCGAGCTCGTCGTATGCAAAGCACCGAGCAAATAGCAGATATGGCTGTGGATACATGCGTCTTTCACAAGCTCTGTGCATAATCTTCTTGCACCGTACCCCGCGGCGTGGGCGTCCCTCCCCCCTCCCTCGTCGCTACAGGCGTTCGAGGAAAACCCCGGCAAGGGGATGATGGTCGAGTATCCCCACCTCCCGCACGGCATCGTGTCGACCGTGCTGCCGGACCACTACGGGGTGACGGTTTCTGAGGCCGAGAGGGAGCGCATGATGACCTCGACGCAGATGTACTCCAAGGTGCGCGCGCGAAGGGGCGACGGATACAATATTCGCATGCTGTTGGAAGACGATGCCGATGTCGGCAAGTTAGATGTTATGTTTGGGTGCCAGCGTTGTACATGGGTCGTGTTGTTTGTTGAAGATGGTGTCTTATGTTTTGTGTTTCTGCTGTTTCTAGCGTTCGGGGGGTGATGTACTCTAAGAGTCTGCGGAGGAAATGGCAGTGGAAGACACAGCACCTAAGTGTTTCCTGGACATGTTCCCCTGGAAAAACAAACCGACATGAAAAAGGGGACAAACGAAACACAAAAGACATGACCAGGGGTTCTACACCCCCCCAAAAATTCACGGGCATTCCTTTCGCAGATACGCAAAGTGTTCATGCATTTTCTGCACTTTAGGTACTGCTGGTATGCCGTGCGTAGCTTCACTCTGTAGTTGTTATCGGTCGGCTGTTCCTGATGTTTTGTTCTGTTTTTTTTTGTTTGTTTTTTGTGCAGGTGGCGTCGTTCGCGAAGGGCCCCACGACAGACTCCAAGTTCACGGAAGACACTGACACAAAGCACGAAGCGGCGTCCGTGGCAGTTCAAGAGGCGGCTCAGAGGCTGCTTTACCCGGACTATTACAAGCTCAGGAGCTTGTCCACGTGGCCTGCCGAGTCATCTGAAGAGCGATAAGCGATTACGTTCGTCGGAACTCTGGGGGTTTCAATCAAGCCTATCGCAACTGTTTGGACTCTCGGGCGTTGCCCATGTTGTGGAAGTAACGTAAGGAGAGGAGTAACAACAGCTCCTGTGGGCGGCACAAGCAAGACACGCATGTTCAGGTGCATAGGAGGCTGTCTGGGTGTACCTGCCTTACGGTTTGTTTTTGTATTTGTTTGGTTGGTTACTAGAATCGTCTCAAAGAGTGTGCCTCGCGGTAGCAAGTCTGGGTCCGCACGTGGGGGCCAGGCGAGAGCTTGAGTTTCTCGGTCTTGGGTCGGACGCGATTAATTTTTTCGAGGCGGCAGCGGAAACAATTGAGTTACACGGTTTTGCGCGGCGCACCGAAGCGCCAAGGAACTATAATTTGCGGCGTTTGGACGAGAATTCACGCGTGTTGTCGCCAAGATGCGTGCTGTCTTTGCTGTCGCACCCGGTTTAGGATATAAACTCTTGTAAGTCGTCACGTTTACGTCATCACGTCCAACAACCAGGGTGTAAGACTCTCATCTCATCTCATCTCATCTCGTCACGTCCGTCAAGGCGCGATTTAGCGCACGCCCTTGGGGCGAAAAAGAGTATCGTCCTTGACGTATGCGGAGGGTCAGTTTTGCTACAGCTGCAGTAGGTAGTATTTGGTTGGGCAGACGCCGGAGGGGGGAGGGGGGGGGAGGCAGCTGCGCAGAATACCCGGTGTCAGCGAGGGGAGGGTTTGCAGACGAAGCAGATACTGTCGTACAGAACCTGAACTGGACCACAGGTCAGGACGGTGCTTCGTGTGTTTCGGGCCAAGTGCGGCGCTCAGCCGGCATGGGGAAGGGCGGAGTGGCGCCAACAGACAGACGCGATACCCTTGGCGCCCCGTCATCTGGGGCGCATTTGCTGGGGCAGATGGTGAGGCACGACGCGCTGAGCGAATGTGCGGCAAGTTGTAGCGTACAGGTATTTCAATGGCAGGGGAGGGGGGGGG